TCAAATGCATTATATCTTTTCTTCTCTTTTTTCTGCTTTGTTATATTTTTGTTTTGTTTTGTTTCAAGCTAATAACACATATTTCTTTACTATCCTAAAAGACAGCAGGTCTTGGGGCACCTGGGTGGCTCAGTTGGCTAAACATCTTGCTCTTGATTTTGGCTCAGGTCATGATCTCAGGGTAGTGAGATCAAGCCACATTTTGGGCTTGTGCTGAGCATGGACCCTGCTTAAGATTCTCTCTCTCCCTCTGCCACAACCCCCACCCCCACCTCTGCCACTCAAATGGACACACTCTCTCTCTAAAACAAAAACAAAAACATTAAAAAAAAAAAAGTAGGTCTTGGTCAATTGCAAAAAGAAATAAAGTTAAATAGAATTATCATTTACTTTATTGAAATTACACAATGATCTATGTGTCCTACTATCTTCACAAGAACCATTTGAGAAAGAAAATACTATTTTGAATACGGGGACAAGACAGTAAGTAGCATGATGCTGTCACAGTACCAGCAGAGGGATGGCTCTAAACCACCCAATTTAAATAGAAATTTTGAGAATCTAGCCTTCGGTGAATAACTGTTTCTGAGAAAAGATAGTGTATTCCTTTCAAAACAATAGCTAGGCCAAAATTAACTTTTGTTGGGATTTATGTAAAGCATAAAGGTATGATCTGAGAATAAGTTTTATGCTCTCAGACTCCATATTAGGAAGAATGGTACTATAATTTAAATGATTTAAGACCTGTTTTTTTGTTGTTGTTGTTGTTTTGTTTTTTGTTGTTTTTTTTTGTTTTGTTTTGTTTTGTTCATCAGAGAAAATAATCTCCAAACATCAGAGCCTTTACCCACTTTTTTTTGTTGCTCCAACCTGGCATTAAGAGCAATGTCAAACACATGATAAGAGCTCATTAGTTATTAGTTGAATTAATGAGTCATGAACACAAACACTCAGCAAGCAGTACCTCCAATGACTGACTCATATGATATAATACTTTAGGCTAGATGCTGTGAGTCAAAGTTGAGTCTCTTTGAAAAGTATTTTTTTCTGAAAGTTATATACAGAAGTGGAGTCCTAACATTTACTTATGTATTTACCACATATGAATTTAACTACTATATTTCTTCCAATCTAATAGACAATTAATGACAAGACAAACCATGATTGTCTAAAGTAATGAGAAAAGGAAGAAAGAAAGAAAAAGAAAAGAGAAGAAAAATCAAAGAAAAAAAATACATAAAGAAAAGAAAAGAGAAAAGATCTTCTAGAATGTCCTGAGCTGTTTTATCATTGAGGAAACAGTAGGAAGGTGCTGGGTTGAACCAGGAAGAGGGCCGTCATCAGAACGCAACCCTGCTGATGCCTTGATCTTGGACTTCCCAGCCTCCAGAACTATGAGAAAAAAATTTCTATTGTTTATAAGCAACCCAGTGTTTGCATTTTCTTACAGCAACCTAAATAAAGACAGATGATTCAAACTAGAATAATGAAGTAATGGGAGAGAGCCCAGTTATCAGGACATAAAATAGTAGAACCTAAAATTAAACTGGTTTATCAAAACTATTCCCTGGTTCACATGAAAATCAGAACACTGAGGATAAAGAGAACATTCAAAAGTCTGCAAGGGAGAAAAATCAGCTGACCTCTAGGGATCTGGAATTTAAATGACACCACACTTCTTAACAACAATACTGAAAGTCAGAAAACGATGGAAAATTGTTTTCAAAATCTTGAAGGAAATGATCCATGGCCTAGAGGGTTGATGGTCCAGAGTGGAGCAAGAGGACAGAAGATTCTAGGAGAGAGAAGTCTGAGAAGGAAACAAAACTTATAGAATATCTGCTATATTCACTCAGCCGATAAGATTTAAGTGCCTTCTCTATACTAGAAACCATTCTAGACATTGGAGATAAAACAGAAAACAAGTGTTTGTTCTCGGAAACCTGCATTTTGGTTCAGGGTAAGACATTACAAAGGAATAAATTAATAAGTGTACAAATATATTAAAAAAAAAGAAAGAAGGAAGGAACAAACCCTGATCAGTATAATCTTAAGAATGCCTTCAATTTTAAGACACAACTCAATTTCAGATATGTTAAAATGTAAAAAAAAAGAAAAAAAAGATTCATCTTCGAGTCAATGAAATACAGTAATTATCCTCAGACACCCACAACTGATGGGTTGCGTTCCTTATATTAAACAACAAATACAAATAAATCTGAAAAGAGAATTCAAGTAAGAAAAAAAATGGTGAAGTTTTGGGAATGACGTCAATTTTTTCCCACCATTGACCACAAAGGAAACACGTTTTGAACTTCACGTGTGTTTTAAGGATTTTCAAGGGTTGCTTTAGTTATACATGATTTTTATTATAGATGCTATGCTAATTTTAAAATCTAACATTCCCCTTGACCTTAAGGTAAAAATAAATCTTGGGTATATGAACAGTTTTTTCTTAATTTTTAGTGCTATAAATTATAGCCTAGTAAGAAGAGACTGCATTTACTTAGCAGCCGAATTTATATTGCACAAATCCTTTCTTTTACTTTAGACAATGCCATCACAATTCAGTATAATTTTAACAGGTCTTAATCAAAGTTTTCTAAGTCACTCCCCATCCTCTTTAGACAAATTCACTTATTGTTCTTGCTCCTTCTAAGAAAGCAATTGTGAGTTCCTTCAGACTCCTTTAAACCACCCATCCCTATGCCAATTTTCCTGAAAAATCAACACCAAGTAATAAGAATAAAAGATTCCACTATATTCACTGCCTGAATCTCTCTCAACCCTGGACAGACAGATTGGACCCATGCACGCAATGCCTTAGCTAATGGCGCCAAATCACACAAAGCCATTTTTAAGATGCTTGGTCTATGCTATCAATCCTCTTACCTTAGGCAACCCCCTCCTGCTGGTTAAGTGCTAACACATGCTTTACAACTGCAGGAAGGGATATGGTTTACAGATTAAAATTAGATGCAGAATTAAATTGCTTGAACACAGCAAAAACGAAAGAGGTAGTGTAAGGTTAGAGAAGCCAATTTGGGCATGCCAATACTCACACACACTTAATTCCAAGACTCGTATTTCCATGAATTTCCATTAGAATTCTTGGGTTCAGGTTCTACTTTCATTACTGAGAGTAACTTTCAGAGCAATAATACATAGAATCTGTCAAAGAATATGCAGCCCTATGAAAGTGAATGTTCAAAATGTGGAATTTACAGTCATAAGAGATCTCTGAGTCAAATACCAGAGCTCCTTTTAGAAAGCCAAGTAGAGTAATTTAATGACTACTAATGGCATTTGTAACTTCTCAGGCTACTATAATAAGAGTAATCAGATCTCAGGCTTCAGGGTGTAACATGATCACCTGCGCTTTTCAGAAAGGAATTTCTGTACACCCGGATAGTGCTGCACAGCTGGCCAAGCACATTATTGGTAATGTCAGAAGGAAGGAGAAGAGAGATCACCTCCTCCAAATCATTACATGCCTTTTACAACTGGTAAACACAAACTAACTAGAAGTTAAAATAGTGTCTTTTAATTTTTTTTTAAATGCCACTCATTGCCTGAAAACCTCAGACCTAACCAACAAAGAAAAGAAAAAAAAAAAGAAGAAAAAGAAAAAGAAAAGAAAAGAAACAAAGTTCACACTATGTACTTTCTTGGTTTAGAATATAAGGCCATAAAATGAAAGCTATTTCCTCATCCACTAAATAAATATGTGTTGGGAGCCTATTTATTTACTGGCATTTTGCTAAGTGCTGGTGGATACCATGGTAAGCACAGTCACTACTTCCTGGGAACCTACAGTCTAGTGGCAGAGAAAGAATCATCACATAGTTGCATAACTAGAGAGCTCTGAAGTAAAGGACTAGAGAATAAAAGGAATACCACCAGAACTTAGAAAGAAAGGAAGAAAGAAAGAAAGGAAGAAAGAAAGAAAAGAAAGAAAGAAAGACCAAAGTTGCATCTTACTTGACTTATGATGCAAGAGAAGATATACCAGTGAAGAAACTCACTGGGTCATTCACCAACATGGAAAATTTACAGATTTTTAAGTGCTAGATAGGAGTATTCTTAATGATGTGCTAAGTAAGTCTTGAAAACTAGCTCTCTGGATAAGAAGATGTCTTGTCTATACATGGTTGGAGGAAAAAAAAAAAATCTTATAGTTTGTTGGTCAGTAATGAGTTTTCAGTTAGGTCAAGTAAGAGTTTGGTGTACCAAGGTCATTCAAAGTTTCATCATTTTTATAAGTTTCAGCTGGTTTGAGCTAGTTATGATGAAATTTAATTTTTGTGTCATTCAGGCCAGCGCTGCTCTGGTGGAAAAATTTCCATTTACAGATGTAAAAGATAATCAGTAAAGGAGTTGGAGTAGGAGAGGTCAGCGAAGGAAGACAGAGCATCCCAGCAGACATGCGAGAATGACATGTGCAGACATCGATCATGAGATAAGAAAGACAGTTCAAGGAAAGGTTAGAGGCCCGTACTGTGTGGATGGAACAGAGCCTATAGGGAGAATACTGTCATTTGAGGTTGAGGAAGTGGGCTAGAGAAAGGCCATACAAAATATATAAGATATGTTAGAAATTTTGGTGTACTCTCCTAAAAACAATAAGAGTCTACCGAAGAGTCTTTAAAACAAAAGAGGCTGGAGGGTAGTGGATGATCTGATTTGTGTTTCAAAAAATTCCCTAGTTACAGTGTGAAAGATGAACTGAAGATTTCACTAGTTGAGCTGCTTCTATAGCACTTAGGAAGCAATCAACATTGTCTACAACAGAAATGACAGAATTTAAAACAGAGAGGGTTCTGGTAAATATGGATGATTTCAACATTGAAAGAGAGGGATAGTGTGAGGTGAAATGATAATCAGGACACCCAAGTTTCAAACTGTCCTATCATTCATCAACATAATACCTAATTCCTGATCCAACCATTTCCCTGTCTTAGAGACTGTGCTTGACAGCTTCTCAAAATGGGCCCCAAAGATCCTCATCGACTGATTTATCCATTCTGATGTACAAACATACGCCTCTTCTTGAGTCAGGGTTGGACCTAGTGACTTAATTCTAACAAATTGAATGTGGGGAGGTGACAGTGTCACTTTCAAGATCAGGTTACCAAAAATAAATGTAGTTTCTGTCTTGGTTTCTCTCTTTTGCTTTCTCTTGGATCACACTGTGGGAAAAACCACTTGCCATATCATAAAACAGTCTCATGGAAAGGCTCCTGTGGCAGGGGACTGAGGCCTGCCAGTAGCCACTTGAGAGAGCTTGTCAGGGGGCCCTCCTGTAGTCAGATCTCTGGATGACTGAAGCAGTATGGACATCTTGATCACAGCCTTACAAAAGACCTCAAGCCAAGAGGAGCCAGACAAACCATGCCAGATTCCTGATTCCAGAAACTGTGAGATAATTCTTTATTCTTTTAAGTTGGGAAGATTGGGGTGCTTTGTTACACAGCAATAGGTGACTAGCATTAAGCAAGGAATTTACCCATTTTAAGTCACTTTCATTAAAAAAATATAAAGCTCCAGGTGCACTACTTTACATTCCTTCACTATATTATTTCTTACTTCTTTTCTTACCGAATCTTCTTAAAATGTTACTTTTACTGAAATCGGTGTGCAGACATGATGGAAAATTTAAATAATTTAAGTTTGAATGATTTCAAATACAATAAAAGAGAAAAGAATGAAAATGTGATATATTTATAAACTCACCTCTATTATAAGGCTAGGAGGTATTCTGCCTCAGTAAATTTGGCACTCTCAACGAATAGATAAATGGAAAGAACTCAAACTACATTTATCTTTTCTGTTTCAGAGAATTTTAGTTATGTTTAGTAAAACTCCAGTTGTACTAATTAAGCAAAAGTAGCTGCCTTCCATTTTCTGCTATAATTATATAATGATAGGAGAAAGACCTTTTCTGTATCTTGTTTAATATTGGCTACTACAAAATAAGAATGAACTGGGCATTTAGGAATATAAAATTGAGTTATTTCCATGAAAATTTTGCTCTCTGGATACTGCAGGACTTTAGCCTTCAGCAATTCCTTCCCCATCTCTAGCCCTACCTCAAAAGATTTCATGGAGGTTCTGGGAGATTTCACAAACCCAATCAAATCTTATGTTGTACTACCCACCTTCTTCCACTTCTCCTTTCTGTTGAATTATAACCATTTGTATTTAGCACCACTGTTCTTTTGGCTGCATGTAGTCACACCCAGCAGACACTGCTTTCTCCTGCTGACAGAGCAATCTCATTGGGTAACAACAACATGGCTGCCAAATTCTGCCATTTCTGGGTACCACCTCTCCCCTGCAGTGCTGACTCAAGCTGCCAAAGCTTCACAATATGGAGAGCTAGAGAATTTCTTTCATTTTTCAGTGTCACACTCCAGTAAAATGCTACCAAAGAACTGCATTTTTTCCAGTTCCACACGAAGTTGTAATGGAGTAGTTCCTTCTGTTTATTCAGAGACTCAAGCATAAATCCATAAGGTGAAGCCAACAGACTCAATGACTTACATAGCAAGCACTTTGCTAAATTCAGAACTGTCTTTTGTGTTAAGGCTAAGACAGAGGCTAAGGATTTATGATTGGCCAACCCTAAAAATCCTTTCTTTTTTTTTCCTTTCTTAGAATGAAGCTGTCTGTGAGGAAGTTCCTCAGCTCTTCATAAAATAGATTCCTGGGAAGGCATAGGGAGAATCACCTAAATCACATCAAAGGCAACTACTTATCCTCAAACTGGTCTGCAAAGGTGACTACCTGAGCTCAGAGTGGTTCCCTAAAACACCAGTTAAGTAATCCTTTACTTTTTAATTGTTCCTGTTAACAACACAGCTACAATGACAATAGAAATAGTAAATACCTTAAGTTTTCCAGGTATGAACACTGAATTAAGAAATTGGGAGAATTGCTTTAGCCCAATCCATGAACTACTGCTTTGATGCAAATAAGACTGACTATTCTTCCAGAATCTTCCATGCCAAATGATTTCCTCATCTTTAAATAATATTTCTGGAAGAGTAGATATCGAAAGTCCCTTGCAACTCTAAATCTGTAAGATTGAATTGAAAGAAAAAGAAAAATTTTAAAAAGTTATTTAGCCAAACAATTATATCTATCTTAGAAACTTTGTTTTACATTTACCGTTACTGATATTAGAATTTTTTTATTTTTATCAATTTTAAACCATTTATTTATTTAATTACTTACTTATTTCCTTTGAGAGAGAAAGAGAGAGAGAGAGAATCACAAACCGTTCTTGGGGCTCTATCCCATGACCCTGAGATCACGACCTGAGCCAAAATCAAGAGTTGGGTGCTTAACTTACTGAACAACCCAGGCACCCCTTATGCCATTTATTCAACAGAGACATAAAGAGAGGAGAAAGTATTTGTTGGTTTGCGTCAATAATCAGACTGATCACTTTAAAATAAATAGATTTTTTTTAAAGAGCAAAACTTCAAAGAAAATCAAATGAAAAATTTTTATTAAAGCAGGACAAGTATAAGGAGGTATTAAAAACAATGACAGTAAGAGCAAAGGGAACAAAGATAATCCCCAAATTTCCATTTTGGGTTTCATTTCATTTCCACACTTTGAGGAAGTCAACAGCAGGTTACAGTTTTTGCTGTTTTCTTCACACTTGTAATTCCCAATGTGCTTGAAATCTCATTCCAAGCTAATTGAAATAGGAGGAATGATTCAGACTCCTGATTTCAAGCCTGGGCATCAAATGATTCACAATGCTTTTATTGCTAACTAACCTGTATTCTACCAAGGGAACCCCTGATGTAAGTAAAACATGCCAAATAATTTAACATGTGAGTTATCATGAAGCACAATTTCATTGTTAAATATTTACTTGTTCTTTTATAGTATTTGCATGGGTATACAAACTCTGTTCTACTTGACTCAGTGCCATCAGAAGGAAATGTGAAGCACCGGGGGAAAATTTGGCACTTTGATTCCACAAGAGTAACTTGCTCCTCTTGCAAATCTTTGCTGAAATGTCCAAAAGGAACTAAGAGTAAAGCACAATTGAAAAAAATAGGAAAAGGTGTTATTCATACTCCAAAATTTTTTGAAGAATTCCTTCATTAAATTAGGAATATGGCCCAATGAGCTTAGACTGAAGGAAAGACTGGCACCATCAAATATTGCAGATGGGAATGCAAAATAGTACAGCCCCAATGAAAAAGAATTGGGCAATATCTAATAGAATGATATATGCATTAAATATAATTAAAATACTAAAGAAACAGTTCACAAAATTAAAATGAACTGAAATGGATCAAGCTAATTGCATATCCCGTTGGTAGAAAAAATAATTATTTCCTAGTGACTTGACATAGTACAGGATATTGTGACAGTATTACCGTTATGGAATATATTTCACAGAGAGATTCAGAGCTGTAAATTTCACTCAATAGTTTAATTCGTTAGTAATTTGGTATTAGAAAACTATTTTATATAAATTTTAGAATAATATAAATAATTACAAAAATACATAATACATTAATGTTATTAGAACCAAGATTTTCAGTATAGAAGTAAAGAAGTACAAATATAAAATCAAAGAATTTAATTAAAAATTATGTAATGCTGTGTTTTTATTGGAGCTATTAGCATAAACACGTCTTAAAAGCCAAAAAACGTTCCCCTAAATTTTGTCCACAGCAAAGCCAAAAAATAACAACAATCTTGGTAAATTGCATTATTTGTTCAAACCATTATCTATCTCTTTCTACTAGATCCATTCCTGCAGAACCTCTCTCAGACACCCCTTCCTGTGGAAGAAGCAAACTTTCCAGGAAGAGCACAACCACAGCTTGAAGAAATGCCTACATAATGTGCAAGGTATTCAGCTCAAAAAGAGGAGGCAATGTTAGCAGACTGCCTCAACAATTCAGGGACCTAATTTAAATGTGAAGGAACAGTTTGAGGTTCAAATATATAAAGGGAGAAAGACAAACTGGGAAAGATATTTTAAAACTTTTCCAGGAAAACACTGTTTTTTGTTTTGTATTATTTTTTTCCAATTACAGTTTCTGAGCAGAGAGTGTATGTATAGGATGGATTTACTCTCAAGGTGTGGGAATGATGGGAGTCATCATTCATCCCTTGATGGGAGAGTTTTCTTAGCTGAGCTTTATGATCATAACCAGTAAACTCTGATCAAAAGACATTGATTTTCTCTTTTCTGATTTTTCTCTTCTTTCCCATTTCTTTATATATAACACTAATTCTGTGCTGGGACTATGACTAAATTCAAGTTGTACTAAATGATGTATTGGTATTATGTATAGCATAGCAAAGCATGTTCACTTGAGCTCTGGGCATAGCATGTTTACTGGATAAATATTACTTAGGGAATTGGTAGTTAAATTTTCAATAGATGCCATGGGATCTTTGTTATGAGGATCTGACTGTGGTTTCAAAATGTTGGGCAAATAGGAAAGGTTCTGTGGATCTTCTGTGGCTCTGGAATACAAGGGGTATCTGAGAGCTGAAAAGATGCTGAAGGAACAATGCCTACTCCAGTGGAAAGTAATTTCGGACGTCTCTGCTGAATAAGAAACCAGAAATCACTTGGGTACCTCAGAGAAGATCCTTTTAATGAGGATAGAGCAGAGGAAGAATAAATTAATGAGAGAAGACGATTTTTCACACATTGTTGAATTTTTACATCTTGGCTATAAAAATCGGGATAAATTGATTTTTTCAGATATTTAGACTTTGTTAAAATAAAAGATATATCTCAAATAGAAGTTATTCTGAACCTCTGTTTGTCAGCAAAACAACCCTCAAGATGTATTTGAGCTACCTTAAATATAAAAAAAAATTAAGTGACTAAAAAGAATCTATTAAAACATGTCATTTATTTTTGAAAATCACATATTCTATGTTCTCAAGAAACACTTATTAACATTCTAAGATACAGATTTTCTGTAGACAAATTTGGGAAATGTCTCTCTAGAGGAATGTCTTCTGTCTGGGATAGACTATGTTCCAGTGAACTGTTAAGTGCCCATGAAATACACTGGCCTGGCACCTTCACATGTCTTTTGGTTTTTTTTTTTAAGATTTTATTTATTTATTTGGCAGACAGAGATCACAAGTAGGCAGAGAGGCAGGCAGAGAAAGAGGAGGAAGGAGGTTCCCAGCTGAGCAGGGAGCCCAATGTGGGGCTCGATCCCAGGACCTGAGATCATGACCTGAGCCGAAGGCAGAGGCTTTAACACTCTGAGCCACCCAGGAGCCCCCACATGTCTTTATTATTAAACTCCACAATTTACAAAATAAAAAAGGATTATGGGGAAGCCTTGAAAGGAGACACAGCTTGCTTGGTAATTATTTTTCACCATCTTAAAACATTTAATATTTTAAAGTAAGGTAGGATTTCAATATGGTAGAGTGAGCACAGATCCTAAATGGTATTAGGACAACTAGATTCACATGCAAAACAATGAATCCAGACACAGAAATTGCATCATTCACAAAAATTAACTTAAAATGCATCACAGGCCTAAATGTAAAATAAAAAAACTATTAAACTCCAAGAAGATAACATAGGAGATAATCTAGATGAACTTGGGCTTGGTAATGACATTCTAGATACAACACCAGAGGCTTGATCCATGAAAGAAAGAATCGATAAGCTGGGCTTCATGAAAATTGAAAATTTCATGAAAATTAAAAATTTCTGCCCTGAAAATTTTGCTGTCGAGTGAATGAAAAGATAAGCCACAGACTGGGATAAAATATTTGCCAAAAACATATCTAGTAAGAACTGTTATCCAAAATAAAGAAGAATCTAAAAATCAACTATAAGAAAAAAGACAAACATTAAGCAATAGACCTCGCAGAGGAGATTGATGGATGACAAATAGACAGATGAAAAGATGCTCCACAACATGTCATCAGGGAAATGCAAATAAAACAGCAACGATGTATCACATTATACGTATCAGAGTAGCCAAACTCCAGAACACCAACAGCACCAAATACTGGCAAGGATATGGAGCAACAGGAACTCCAATTCATTGTTAGTATGAAACATGGTACAGCTATTTTGGAAGACAGTTTGGCAGTTTTTCTTACAAAACTAAGCATAATTTCCCTCCCTACAATCCAGAAATGAGTTTCTGTGGTCACTCAAAGAAATTAAAACTTTATACCAGACAAAAACCTGCACATATATTATAGCAGCTTTATTCATAATGGCCAAGCGACCTCAAGTAGGCAAGTGAATATGAATAAACTGTGGCACATCCAAACAATGGAATATTATTCAGCACTAAAAATGAATGAGCTATCAAGCCATGAAAAGACACAGAGGAGCCTAAAATCCGTGTAAGTGAAAGAAGCCGATCTGGATGAATAAGGTAGAGCATAGAAGATTTTTAGGGCAGAATGCAGAAAGTACTCTGCATTATAATTATGGACACATACCATTACACATTTGTCCAAAGCCATAGAATGTGTAACACCAAGAGTGAAATGTAATGTAAACTAGGGACTTTAATTGATAATGACGTTATCAGTGTAACTTCATCAATTTAACAAATGCACTACCCCGGTGGGGGTTGTGGGTCATGAAGCAGGCTATGCATCTGTAGGGGCAGGGAGTATATGGGAGAGCTCTGTATCTTCCTCTTGTTTTTGCTTCCAACCTAAAACTGATCCAAAAAAAAAAAAAAAAGTCTTAAAAAGCATGAGAATTAATCTAGCACTCAATTCTTATCAACAGAAGGTACCAGAAAAGAATGGAAACACTACCTTCATGACATGAGAGGAAAAATACATTTTCAGTCTTAATTTCCAAATGCAGACAAATTTATCGACAATAAATTAAGTATGAAACTACATAAAAGACATTTTCAGGAGCCGAGGACCAGACATTTACCTCCCACATACTTTCTAAAATGATCTTCAGGAATCATTGAACCCAAAATGGAACAACTATTCTAGACGGAGAAAGCAGATAGAGACTATAAGGAGAAGGAGGACCTGAATAACAACAACAAAAAAAGATGCAGGAGAGAGTTCTGAGTATTCTAATTTTTTAAATTGAATTCTGGGTGGTGGGGGTGGGGATCCAAGTTTATAAAGACACAGAATAAAGAAAGTTATTATAAAGGAGACACTCAAGTTTTTTTGTAATGCTCTAAATGTAATATAACCATCTCAGAATGGAGCAAGCATTCAAAAGTCTACAGAACAAGATTTTACAAGAACATTCCATCAAGTAGGTAGAATTGAAAAGATACTGGAAAATAATATGGATGTGGTAAGATGTGCATGTTCACACACACACACACACAGTCTTCCAGCTTAAGAACAAAGAAGAATAAAGACAAAAAAGGATAGTGATCAGATTTTGTAGGAATAACAGAACCTGTAAAATAAAGACCTGTTGAAAAATTAAACATCTGTCATGATTTGGAGCAATTAGTAGACCACAGAATGGAGAATCCATATGGTTGTTTTCCTTAGAGAACACATTAGAGCAATAGAAGAGGATCACTATAGACGATTATACTGCTGGATTCCAACACAAATAATACTAATAGATTCATAGTAATGTAAATGTTATTTTCAGCTTTGCGGCAATGCATGTAAGAGTCAGCTGGGTTTCCAGAACTTTTAAAATATGCGTTTACCATCCTTGATAATTTGAAAGTAACAGTAAACCTGCTAGAATGTGGGAGGTATAAGAAAAGTTAGAGAATAGCAGTTGGGAGGCATTTAGATCTTCATTTGAAGAAGTAGGGGGTTACGATACACTGTCAATAATGATGAAAAAAGAAACAGCAATTTCAGTATATTTCTTAAAGCCACAAGATTACTAACAGAGGAGCCATATGCTAAAAGGTGGGGAGGAAGGAGTTAGGGAGAATGATAGCGAGCCATCAATAAATTATGCTAATGGTGGATACATCAATAAGTAATTGCATAAAGATACCACTTACAAATACAGGGAAGACAACAAAAATTTTTTAAAATGATTATTTCTGAGAAGTGAAACTTGGGGAGGTTAATACTATTTTATTTACAAACCCTTCTATATAATTTAACCTTTTTAAAACCATGATTTATGTCATTTTATGAAAAAAAATTTTTAAAAATATAAAATGAAATTGCACTAGCTTAATCTCTTTTTTACTCGTTCTAGATGGAGCTAACATGTCACATTTGTTTTAATAACTCCTGCCCGCATGACTGTTCCCGTTCACTAAAGGAGCTCTTCCACCACTGATGCCTTATTACTCCCCAGCCCAAAACTTCACAAAATTATTTCTGGGAATCGCTGAGATATTTCACAGGATTCCAGTAACAGTTACATTCTTATTCTCTCTGAGCCCTGCTGTCAGTCTCAACTATGAAGGTTCTGGTGTCCTTTTCAAGGGCGCTCTTGCCAAAGCCACTAATGACTTGACTGTGACTTAACAAATTGGTGCTAAACAGATGCTATATGGTTCTCAGGAGTAACTGGGGGGGCTTCCCCTCATTCCGGCCACTCATAACTGAAGGTTTCAGAATTTTCCCCATAAGAAGAAAATTCTTTCGGCTTCTGGCTACAGTTTCCCTCCACAGAAAACTCAGGAAGAGATGGATGTAGGGGGTCTAGCAGGGGAATCTCCTGGGCATGTATTGCTCTGGCTGCCTTCTATCCTGCCTCTAACTTGTAAGATGACAAGGGTGTGGCTGGTTTCAGTCATTTGAAAGATGCCAGAATCAACCAGTTCCCTCATTGCAGATTCTCTTTTCAGACTGACTTTATTTTTTCAGACACAAGTTCTCTACACAGTGGGTGTTATGACCTCCTAGCTACCAAAACATATCTCTCCCAGCTCTGCAAACAGAATGAGACTAAGAGCGACTCATAATGTACTCAAATTCGAAAACCTTAGGGTAGGACACTTGCTGAATCAGGCAATCTAGGCTACTCAACGATCACCATCTGAAGGGCTAAGGTCTCAGTCATGTAAGTACACAACCATTCCAACAGCAAGCCTCTAATCAACAGTGTGGGGAAGATCATTTTCCAGAAGGATGGGAGGGAGAGGTCAGTGTGAGTCCTCTGCAGACAAGAAGATACACTGAGGTACAGGAAACATCCCATCCTACAATGACCTATTAGGGAATACAAGTTGAGTGGTTTATAAAGTGAGTGCTTTTAAGATATGCCCTTCCTCATAGATAGCAGAAATATGTGTTCAGATGGTGTGATTTGAGATCAGCAAAATCAGAACTATATTCATTCTCGATCCTATCCTGGAGTCTAAATTTTCCACAGCTATTTCATGTTTGGTTTAGGTAAGGCTCTTTCCAACTGTAATAAAGGGTAGGTGCAAAGTAGAGGGATTGTACATTATCCCATTATAAATATTAATAACGTCCCTCATTGGTTTCTTAGATTAGCCATCTAGTCAAGGAAAGGCTTGGATGGAATGAGTTATATAGTGAGAATTTTAATGCCTATTTTTGTGATGTGATGCTTAGGGAAAATATCAAAGCATGAAG